GGAGCTCCCGCCTCCAAGGAGACCCCCGGAGCTCCTGCTTCTCTGCAAGCAATGGCCCGCCATGGGAACACACAACCCTCACACAACCCTGGTGGTGATCCAACACATCTGCCTATTTGTCAGCAGCTCCTTATATATTTTGATAATTTGAGACTGCTATAGATATTATCCATTACTACTACATTTAGTTGTAACCGTTCAGGTGAAAGTTTTATTATGACCATCATTAATTACTTAATATCAGCTTATCCCAAGCAGATATAATAAAACCTCTTTTTTAAAAGCCAAGCACTCAGAAATGCTGCTTTGGTGATGGATATTCTCAGCAATCTATACGCTTTCAACAACAAAACTTCATCCATTTCCAGATTGCATATGAACACAAGCCTCTCAAATACCCATGAAGCAGCATCAATGGGGACTATATATATATGTGTGTGTGTATGTATATATACACATATATATATATATACACACATATATGTATATATATATACACACACACACACACTTTTTTTTGTGGTTTTAGTTTTCATGAAGTTATATGAAGAAAGACAGATAGAATAACTATCGTTTTTCAGAAAAAGTTGATGTCTTCTTGTTTTGGGGGGGGTTGTTTTAGCTTTTAGATTCTTGCCATCTAGCAGAAAACTACCTTGCACAAGCAATATATGATGCCAAGCAATGTTTCACAATGCACCATCTACACAGAAATGGAGCCCTTTACCTATTTTTACTACTTGATTTTTCTGGTGGGATTTATCGGCAGTTGCTTCGCACTGTGGGCATTCACACAGAGAGAGCAGAGGCAGAAGTGCATGAGCATCTACCTGATGAACCTCCTCACAGCAGACTTCCTGCTCACGTTGGTACTGCCCGTTAAAATCATCGTTGACCTGGGCATTGCACCCTGGAAACTGAGAATATTCCACTGCCAGGTCACAGCCTGCTTCATCTACCTGAACATGTACTTATCGATAATATTTTTGGGATTTGTGAGCATGGACCGCTGCCTGCAGCTGAGGCACAGCTACAAGATCTTCCGCATCCAAGAGCCTGGCTTTGCCAAGATGCTGTCCGCAGTCGTGTGGACCATGGTTCTCCTCCTAACGGTGCCCAACATGGCCATCCCAATCAGAGACATCGAGGAAAGCCCCAACGCGGGATGCATCGATCTCAAAACGAAATTTGGAAGGGACTGGCACGTGTTCACAAACTTCATCTGCACAGCAATATTCCTCAACTTCTCAGCCGTGATCCTGGTCTCCAACTTCCTCGTCGTTCGGCAGCTCTACCAGAACAAGTACAGCGAGAGCTACGCGAACGTGCGGAAGGCGCTGGTCAACGTCCTGCTGGTGACGGCCGGCTACCTCACGTGCTTCGTGCCCTACCACATCGTCCGCATCCCCTACACGCTGAGCCAGAGCGACGCCATAACCAGCTGCTACCTGAAGCAAACGCTCTTCAAAGCCAAGGAATCCACCCTGCTCTTCGCGGTATCAAACCTCTGCTTCGACCCCATCCTGTACTACCACCTCTCCAAGTCGTTCCGGCTGAAGATGAGCTCGTCCTTCGCAGCGCGCGGAGGGGCCAAGCTCTTCCCCGGGCAGGGGGCAGAGCTCTTCCCCGGGCAGGACACGCACGGCCGGCGGGCACAGGGCGCTGACTCCAAGCTGGGTGTGCMGCCAGGTGTGCAAGCACCAGGTAGTTGCTGCGAGCACCACTGCCAGGGTCAGCACGTTACCGTTCAGGCATAAGCCCAAGCAGAAGGGAAAAACTGCTTTATTTTATAAAGCAGTTTAGATAAAACTGCTTTATTTTACGTTCATATTGCAGCTCTGGACTAGCACAACACTGCACGTCACCTTTCAGAAACCAGTGATGACCTGCCAGGAGCAGCAGCACGTTCAGGGACACAAACATACACCACACATATTTATGGATAAATACCCCAGCTCCCTATACCGAATGACTGGGTGTAATCAAGGAAAGAGATTACATAACAGCTGTTCACAAGCCRCAGAGCTTTTCACGGACACAATTCACCCCAAAACATTTTAAAGGGCATTACTTCAGAAAGTGATTATAAACTGCACTCATTACAATTTTTTGTACCTACTTACATCGCACCTGCAGTTTTCATAAATAAATTTCTTGTCATGCTCTTTGCCTTTGTTACGTCAATAAGTACAAAAAAAACCTAACCACAAACATTACAGAAAATTCAAGCGATTTTAAAATTAAGATAAAGTATATTGATATCCAGTGTATATTTTACCTTATTGCAACAAAAGAAAAAAGAAAAGAAAGAAAACAGCAGCTAAGTGTAATAACTTACTATTTCACAAATACTTTCAAAGACACTGCATGTCTAAAATAGTCAATAAACAAAGCAAAATAAAACCTGCACAGGAAAAATCCAGGTACCTGGATTAGTTCTAAYAAAAATGTTTTAGAAGAAGAACCAAATTACTTTCCCCTACTCTTTAACACGGACAAAATGCAGATGACACTAAGTAAGCGCTGAGCACTGTCCTGCCTGCTGCTGCCAGGGACAGCTCATCCCATGTTCTCACAGCAGCAAATCACTCCCCATAGCCAGAACCCAACCTTGCCAAGGAAGGAAATGGAAACAAAAGAAACTTGGACAATTCCTGTATTGATAGGATTTAATATCATTAACTGCTATCACTGCTGTTTAAGGAGAAAATTCCTTAGCAGAGATACATTCCTGTTTCAGGCTTGTTCAGTACTTGCCCCCCTTTCCCAGCATGAGGAAACGATGAGAAAACAAAGGATGCAGAACGGAGGSGCCAGGCGGGGAGGATCCTGCCCTGTCCCCTGACTCCCATGAGCGGCACTCACCCACCGCGKCCTGCACATGGTGCAGCAGGTCCTACCTGGATGGGAACATCACTTCTGCCAGCCTCGCTTCTCTCTTGACCGACCTCTCACTGGTAACGAAATCCCTCGGTGTAAAGAGGGGGTCACGTTCCCACAMGACTCCCAGGCATCGGAGAGAAAATCTAAGTCATGGAAAATGAATATTTAAGGTGAGTGTAAGCTCAAACTTTCAAAATTCAGCAGTTCATTCAGAGATCTGATTTSGGGTTTGCTTACAGTGACTTTATAAATACCTTTGGATACCGGCAAGGACAATCCAAAACTGAAATTGAAACYACTAAATACCCCCACTGCATTCACAGATAGGTCTGCACTGCTATTGCACAAGGTTTAGAGCAGTCTGCAACTCGTCATGCTGTTACGATGCAGCGCCCTATGACTGACAGCGCCGCGGGGAAGCAAGGACACGGGAAGTGGCAGAGCCCTGGGACAAGAGGCCTCCCAGGCACCTGGATACGCTGGAGCCTCTAGGAGACAGCGGTGGGGCAGGGCAGGGGGGTCCCAACCTCCTGCAGGGGTATTTGCACCCACGGGCCCAGCACAGGCTTCCCTGCAGGTGCAAAGGACTGGGCCAGAGGAGGAAACCAGAGGACTTGAGAGCAACCCAGAAGCAGGTGGTAGCGAGGGCAAAACRTAGAATAGCCACTTGGAAAGCAAACGCTATCCATTTGGGGTCACTTTATGTTAAATACTAGCTAAACCAGCATATTCAGGGCAAGAACACCACGCAGGAGGCAGGCAGGAGATAACGCTGACCTGGTTAGTGCTCCAGACGCCAGTGGCTGCGGGCTGCGAGAGGGGCGTGATGCTCCTCGGGCCGTGGAGAAGCGGTTTGGTGCGAGCAAGTCACGTTTTATTGAGGTCTTGTTTAATTGATCACAGGTATATTGCAGTATTCCACCTGCTTATGGAATAAAAAAAAAAAAAAAAAAACATGATGGCAGGAATTTTTTAGGTATTTAAAGCTTTTATTCACAAAAGGACTTTCTCAGTCTAAGTCCACAGAAGGATAGAAAAGGGCAGGAGCCAAAGGGGAAAATAAAGCCCTAGAGTACATCCCTACGTGCAATTCTGCCCACAGGGACTGCTACACACAGGCAGTTCCGGGGAACTTCTGCAAATACTCAAAGCTGACTCTTCATCCTCCAAGATTTATTTGCTATTTTGTTCCATCATCTCCTATCTTTTGAAGCAAACTTGGTCATGAGACCACTGTAAGAGATATACACAATTACTGAAACCAAATATGAGCAAAGGCTTCGGCAGGCCATCAGCTCCACGTGGGCTGTGCAGCAAAACAGGCTACATCACATTAGAATTACAAATACAGACCACAGTCAAGAATTAAGCGTCATCCTCCTCTTTCACTATTTCCAGAAAAGTTTCAAACTGCTCATCTGGTGGAAGACTTGAGATTGCCCCTGACTGCGTGTGAGCGTCACAAGGCCTGGCTTTACTATCTCCAGATCACGGCCGCTTCCTCCCCAGAGAACACTCGGCCTTCTGCAAACAGCGCAGCAGGTCGTGCCCACCCCGCGCTGCTCGCTGCGGTGCGGGCGGCTAACCCGGCTCCTTACAGGCTGCTCCTGCGTAAAGCTGCCCCTCCTCTTCACYGACAGGCAAAAAAGGTCTTCACTGACTGCAAATAAGGGTGTTCAGCGGTAAATTCACAAGGCTGCATTAAACCTTTTTGTCCTTCCTGCACTATTTTGATCACTGGGGAAGTGACAGTTCAATGCACTTGCACCAGACCCGGAATATGCCAAGCTATAGACAGGAATGAAGCACAATGGATCTTCTAATTTTCTCTATTCTTTAAATATCATGTCTTAGAAATACTAATGCTTTGGCAAAATATCTACCATGAACAACAGAGAATACCAAAAACGGGAGAACAAAAGCACTGAGGTGGTGCCTCCAATTTAATACCATGATCCTTGGAATAGAGGTGAAGGCAGGCGCAGTGACTGATGGGCCTGCCCGGGATATCAAGGTGCACATGTATGCGCCATGGGAGAGAACGTCGTGTCAAATGAATTCAGCAGCACCAAATTCACCAACTGTCCTCTCGTGGTCGCTATTTGGGGCAGCTATCAAAAAAACATAAAACTTAAGACAAATTTCAACACACAAATATTTGCTTTTCAGCTATCCAAATTACAACCCCCTGCAAATTCATTAAAAATAAATAAATAAATAGAGGCTCACTGAAAAGCATCTTGCGTGGGTTTCTCCCCTCCACAGGATGATTCATTTCCCRTCCGATGACCCAACCTGCCTGGTTTCGCTTTGCTGTCGGTTCCAGGCACCCGCTGGCATTTTGGGAAGAGGTGCCTACCAAAAAYGAGCAGGGAGGAGAGGACCCTGCTCGTGCAAATGAAAACCAACCTGATGCTCAAGCTTCGGATTAAAATAGACCACTCAGTGTGGCTCCTTTCCTTTCAAATTCTATTTCAAGAGTAAACTTCAGYGTCTTTGCTACGATACTTTTTTTTTCTCAAGTTGCGAGTCACGAATTTCACACATTTCATCACCTACACCGCCCACAGGCACTTCCAGGCAGAGGAACCTGCTCACTCCGAACTTCAGGGGAGGCCTAAGGACAACTTATTTCAGTAACTGCCGAGTTCTTAAGGTGTGTTTTTGTTAAACTCTCACCCTGTCTTTCCCTTATGTATTTGTACGGGGTTTAGCAGCACTATGGTGTATGAGGGACTGGAGACGTGACAGCTCACAGTGACCCCTCTCCTTTTCACCTCAGAGTTTTCATTGCTCCATCAGGTTTTTACTTACAAGGGCTTTTTAGAGTGAATATATGAGACAACATTATCACTAACACCTTAACACAAAACATTTTAAAATATTTTCAAATAACCCAGACACCTGCATTCCAGATATTGAAAATGTAAAAGGATTACTTAAATTTATTATTAAGCTTTATCAAATGAGCATAATCATGCTTATCAAGAAAAAAGGTTTATACAACAAGTGCATGTTATTTAGCCAAGGACCATTCAAAGTTTAGAAAAATACAATATAAAAATAACATTGTCTTCTTTGGTCGCAACTATACTCAATTTTATTTATTCAATAACCCAGGAAGGTTTGCAACATTGCAATTTTAACTCTATACCACAACTCTTATGATATATTGTAAGAGGGTCCAGTCCTCTAATTTTCACCCTAACTTTCTGTTTGTTTGTTTGCAGGATTCTTGTTACCCTAGAGCACACGTTACAGCAGTGTGCATGTTATAGCAGCCCAATTTGCCCCGAAATTCCCCCCGCCACCTCCCGCAAAGCGCCGGTGCCGACGGGCCGCAGGGCGGACACATCCCCCTGGAACGACACCCGTGACGTCCCTCCCATTCCCGGGRACACGGACACTCGGGCGCCGCGTCAGCAACGCGCGCAAACCGACGTCAAGGGGCACTGCGAGCCAGGGAAACATTCCCGGCCCGGCTCCCGCTCCGTCTGGCRGCACGGCCACGCCAAGGGCACCGCTCTAGACAAAACACGGCCCTCAGACACACCAGTCTGCAGAACAAATATTTGGGATGGTTTGGTAAAACCACGCTCACAGCTAACCCCAAAATAGAGCACAGTCAATACCCTAGAATCTCTTTTTTTGAACGTTGAGAGGTTTGGGCATCACATTTCAAACCAGTTCAATTCCGGTTTAGCCAAAGGTCACTAGAAAGAAAGAAAGAAAAAAAAAAAAAGGCAAAAAGCACTAACCTGTAGCACCTGAGATATCATTAAACTACGAGTTTCATTAGACTACGATATTTCACAGAGCATCCTGCTTTTTTGGTTTGTTTTTTTCAATTCATCTTCTCATAGAATGACACTTT